GCGACACTGGTCATCGATCTAGCCAAAAATTGTTTGATGCTGATTACGTTTATGTAAAACGCGACTTTAAAAGAAAGCGTAATATCTTTAATAGAGACAAGTCAGAAACAAATCGGACCCTTTTCGTTAGTGCGAGAACAAACTATAATCGTATTAAAAAACATAAAATAGCTGAGAGTAAAAAAAATAACCAATTGGCCAAAACTCAGCCAAGAAAATTTTGGAAACATTTAGAAAAACATTTAAAAAGAAACCGGCGGAAGCTGACAATCTAAATGTCGAGCAATTTTATGACCACTGTAGGTCATTATTTGGAGTGCCCCCGGAAATGGATATAAATAACAATAATTTGACCATTGAGGATAATGTACGAAACGATATTTTAGATCGTGATATTTCTGAGGAAGAAATACGAGCGGCTGTATTTTCCCAAAATAACAACAAATCTCTCGGACCCGACATGCTTATATCAGAGGTTTTTAAATCTACTTACTATAGATATTTTCTCTCCGTTTCTTGGGGAGAGGGTATAATTACACCTATTTTAAGAAGGGTGATACTAATGACCCCAAAACTTCCGCGGCATTACACTTAAAAATATCTTGGCAAAAATATATTCCCAAATCCTACTAAATAGGCTCACGAAGTAGTCAGAAGAGAATGATAAGATTTGCAAGAACCAATATGGTTTTCAGAAAGGAAAATCTTTTGTAGAATGCATATTATCTTAAATTCTATAATATCAAAAGTACTTAACTCTGGTGATAAACTGTATTGCATTTTTATAGATTATGAGAAATGCTTCGATAAGATAGACAGGACATATTTATGGCATAAATTGCTTAAAGAAAACGTAAGTTCTAGACTTGTGAGAGCTTTAAAGTCAATGTATATGACGGTAAAATCGTGTGTTAAATATAAGTCGAATTATTCATTATTCCGACTTTTTCGAGTCGCATATAAGTTTGAAGGAGGGGGACCCGAGTTCCCCTCTGCTGTTTATGTTCTTCGTGAACGACATCTTAAGGTATATTAATACCGACCTAGAAGGTATTTTCTCTATTGATGAACTTCAGCTGTGATTAATACTTTTCGCAGACGACCAAGTATTGTTTGCTAAGTCCCCGCAGAGTTTACAGTCGATGATGTCCGATGTCGAGGGATACTGTAGTCTTTGGGGATTAAAAATAAATACTTCGAAATACTTTGAGAGTTGTGAAACATGTCTGTTCATGAGTAATTATATTTGTTGCTCATATTAAAACTAAGGAATGATGAGTTTAAATGGTAATGATTTCCCACAATAACGATTCATCACAAAGTAATATAAATATGTAACATTAAATTATAAAAATGTAAATAAGATAAACGGATAGCCATTCTTAAACTGTTACTTCTAAGGGGGCAACTCCACAAACTATTTTATATTAATTATAACAGTAATTGTCTCTGTATGACTGGTTAAATTAACTCAAGGCAAAGGAAATTCATTTTTTATTAATTTGTCAAGATCTATGACGATGTTATTATTCGAGACCAGGGGCCAGTTTCTCAAAGCTCTGTTAAATTTAACCGTCTGTTAAATTAACAGTCCGTTAAAATAGCTAACCGACTGTTACTTAACAGTCGGTTAAAAACTTGTTGCTCAAAACTTTTTAACAGGAGTGTTAATTAACACCCCTGTTAAATTTTAACCAGCTGTTAACAGGTTCATTCAATCCCATAATTCCCCATTCTGTAGTCTGCAAAATGGCGTCTGAATTACCAGAGTTAAACAAGTTGTCTAAAATAATCATGTTTGAAAGATAAGAGCAACAAATTTCAATATTAACAAAACTCTTCTTCTTAAGGAATTGGTAAATGGAAATTTTGATGTGTTAACTCAAATTCTGACACATTTCACATTATTCACATATACATGTATATACATTATGTACACGGCATAAAAAATGGATGCTGACACCCCGTATGACATCAGACATGACGTCAATAAACCAAATGACGTCAGGAAAATTACTTAGAACTACGCTATAAATTATGTAGTTTGGTTTATTATTCAAATGCTTTGTAATTTATTACCGATACAGGTCTATCGGCCTTTGTGATTATATGCCTGCGCATTTGAATTAGAACCATGCATTATTCTACACCAACGCAATCAAAATTGATATCTATTTCCTAAATTTATCAGTGACAAATTCATGGAAACCTGAAATTTAGAAAGACTCAAGATAAGTAGCTGTAGGATATAATCAACAAACAGAGCAACGTGTATTGAAAAGTGGACCAACCTAAAAGGCTTTTGTGTTAAGGCCCATACATGTTGCTGGAAACTGGTAATTCTATGCTACCTGCTGAGTAATGAAATCAAATTAGATGTATAATTCAAAAAGCATAACCTCTTTTACAATAATAAACATTGAACTTCGAACTGTGATCATTTCCCATGTGGGTTTGATTGAGGATATTATTTTATTTAATCTCTGAGATCAGTGTCAGAAGCAAAACTGATTTATATGTTTGAAGATAATCGTAACATAATCGTAACCAATTATCATTACAATTTTTGCTTGGATTGATTATTTTTTACGATATCTCAGAATACCAATTAAAACTAGTTAGAAAATAGTGATGTAGAACTAAATAAATATGGTTACAGAATAACATCCACACAAAATTGTTTTAATGGACACTTAAAATTAAAATTACCTTATTTTATTCATTGTATGTATCATTGTGTGTTTTAAACCTGAGCAAAAACAAAAACAAAAACCCTAACCCTTACACTATAATTTATGGTAATGATTAAATACATTAAAAAAATTTGAACAGCGTCATGTATAGGAGGAAATTTCAATTGGAGAAAAATGAACTAGATTCTCTATAAGGAATTTGTTAAATTTGTTTCTTCGTTATATCTATTTTGATTTTTTGCATATATTTCATTTAAGTATGACTGTCAATGCATAAAAACAGATATCACACATACAGATTCATTTCTAGGATCCCTCCGTTAAATCTTAACGGAGGTTCAAACCTCGATTAAATTAACAGACAGATTCAGCTGTTAAAGTGGCAGTTAAAGTGAGCGTTAATTTTGAGCAACAGAATTTAACACAACGGTTAAATTTAACCGTCCGTTAGTGGATTTAACAGACGGTTAAATTTAACAGAGCTTTGAGAAACTGGCCCCAGGTATGAATACACATGTTCGTGTTCTAAGGCCTCCAGCTTTAGATACAACAGATTTTCAATCGAGATAATAGTACATGTATTAGAAAGTGACATGTTAAAAGAAATCTTTAATTAAACGATTACATTTTATTAAACATCAACAACCTAGGTATTGGTTAACAGTAATAAATGAATAAAAAATAACTGTATATTATACATGCATATGACTGTCTTCATTACGATTACTGATATAAAATAGAAAAAGATATTAATAGAAAATGTTGACAAATGTCAAGATCTTATTATCATAAACTTCTTAATAAATTTTGAAGAAGAAAATATATTGACTAGATCACAAAATACTTGATTAAATTCGCCGACGAAAGGCGTTAAACTTGTGTAAACAATTTAATACCTTATATGAAAAAAAAAACCTATGAACATTTGCGTTACCTCATAAAAACGGTTTGAATTACATTGATCAGCTTACTTTCAACTTTCTATGTCACCAGAAGATTAGTAAATAAAAACTTGCCTATCGAGAATCGAAATTATACGGTATAATATGCATTGTTGAATCGACAAAAGCCAAAACCATGCTTAATACGGTGGTCAAGCCATCATTTTCACAAATGAAGCAATTTTGTGGAAATAATCTTGATGAGAGATGAAGAATAATGTGTTACAGCCTTATGAGGATAACTCTTTTTTTCAGTGTGGCTAAATAAAAAATATATTTCCAAGTTTACTTAACGCTTTGTAAATCCTGTCATGTATCCGTCATTTATTGCACAATTCTGCGTTTCTTTTTTGCACGAATGGTGCGTTATTTTTACATTCCGGCGTTACTGGATATACACCGTGATAATAGTAAGCGTACTTAATTGATATTTTAAAATACTTTGTACAAATCGCCGAAATTATTACATTTTTATAAAACATTTTTATATTCAAGGCTTGAAGTGTAAAGTGTTGTAATTCTTATCACGAGGGATGAACTTTTACACGAAGGATGGACTTCTTAGGACAACTGTCATAGAGTTCCTGGAAAACATTACGGATCTCGTCGGAAAACTTTATTGTATACTGGAGAAACACACGTACAATTTTTTTAAATTTTAAATGAGGAGTTTACTTTGATGATTAAGCTTGCCTTACATATTGTATTATGTGCCAGAACAAAGAATTATAGCCATTTTCATCGCCTTTTGTTTAAAATCTGATAGTTTTGAGTAAAAAATGTACTTGAGCCGCGTCACGACAAAACCAACATATTGGGTTTGCGACCAGCATGGATCCAGACCAGCCTGCGCATCCGCGCAGTCTGATCAGGATCCATGCTGTTCGCTTACAGACCCTATAACAAGTAAAGAAACTGATAGCGAACAGCATGGAACCTGATCAGACTGCGCGGATGCGCAGGCTGGTCTGGATCCATGCTGGTCGCAAACCCACTATGTTGGTTTTGTCATGACGCGGCTCACTTGCTCTTTTGTACATTTTGATCTTTCATCTGTGATTTTCTTCGTTGCCATACTAAATTACCTTATTGTAATGGAAAGTTGCAAACGTAAAGCCAAGGCCCGACTTTTAAAAGTCTCGGAGTTCTTGTGATAACTCTGAAGATGCCATAGAGTTCTTATGATAACTTTTGTTACAGCAAGTGTGTTTCTTGTACGTTATAGCACATTTTATTGGTCCATAAGTGTGTTAATTATTACGAAGCAAAGTACGCTTATAATTTGCACAAACATGTGGTTATATAATGTTGGTTTTGGGTGTATTTCAGTTTAAGAGATATTTTTTCTAACCAATATTTCTTGTGGTTTTTTTTGTTTTGTTTTTGTTTTTTTTCATTTTATAAGATTTTTTGCTTACGCAGATATTGTAGACTGAAATAAGGTTTGATGTAGAGCATTGTTTAACAAGATAATATAAGCTTTGAATTCAATACGTTATCATAATGTCTTCATGTATACAATATTATTGCCAGCTTTAGGCTATGTTATCGGTATACCAAAACAAATTACATGTAAATGGTTTGTAGCAAAATATGAAGTACATTACCTTTATCTTAAATCAATGAGGTGGGGGTCATCTTCATGTTTTCAACGGATATATTGATTTCTAAAAGGTATCATTTTTTTTGCTATAGGGACGCCACAATTTCTATGACAACAATATAACGATACAAACAAAGTCTTTAATAATAAATGTGAGACACCATAAGGTTCATACCGTTGATCTATCGTGTTCCTTTCTTTATCAAATTCAAATTAGCCTAACGTGAATTATAGAAATCTCCATATTAAGGAAGATTATTGCATACATTCTTGTTATCAAAGTTTGGCTCCACATCTTTAGAATCAGTCTACATTAAACTGAATGATCATGATTTGCTTTAAAATACTTATCATTTTTACAGTACAAACATATTTCTTCTGTCAATGTTTGATGGACATTTCTATGGTGACACAAAGGTGACATTAGTGTGTTTTTATTTATCTCGTGGCAACGAGATACTATGTCGTGGCCACGAGATAGCTAAGTCGCGGCCACGAGATACTATGTCGTGACCACGAGTTACTAAGTCGTGGCCACGAGATAGCTAAGTCGTGGCCACGAGATAGCTAAGTCGTGCGCACGAGTTACTAAGTCGTGGCCACGAGATAGCTTAGTCGTGGCCACGAGATACTATGTCGTGGCCACGAGTTACTATGTCGTGGCCAAGAGTTACAAAGTCGTGGCCACGAGATACTATGTCGTGGCCACGAGTTACTAAATCGTGGCCACGAGATAGCTAAGTCGTGGCCACGAGATATTATGTCGTGGTCACGAGATACTATGTCGTGGCCACGAGATAGCTAAGTCGTGGCCATGAGATAACTAAATCGACTTAGTAACTCGTGGCCAAACCATATATATATTTATATATAGGTGTGAAGAGATGAATTAGACATTTTATGTGCATTTCGGCGGTTGAAAATGCGAGATTTAAGCATTTAATCATTAAAGCGCCTTGTTCTGTATATACCGGAGTACGATAAGTAGTTTGGTGCTCAAACACTTTTTTTAGTCTCATTCAAAATTAGTACTTCAAGCTTTTCTTTACGAACTATATGTATAACAATAATAAAAACAATAATCATAAAAAGGAAGTATCAAAAACATTAAAACAAACGAAAAATTATATCAACATTAGTTCAATACTTTCAGGCAAGTATCTAACTTAACAGATGTTCATCAATAAATTGGTTTAATTTAAATAAATACATTTTAAGGGATGTAATAGAAAAAACATCGAAACACGAGTCTATCTGATTTTTACGAGGGGGCGTAGCTCCCAGAGTATAAATCAGATTGTCGAGTGTTTTGATGTTCTTTCTTTTTTGTATCATAGTCAAACATAAAAAACACGTTCCCTGATACCACAATATGAAACCCCACAAAAAAGTAACCAATGGATGAGCATCTGAATATGATATTTCCATCGCTATTCCTTTCTCTGTCGTTACAATATGTAAACCCAGGACAAAATGAACCAATCAATGGGCATGCTCTGGAGTGTGGATAACTAATACATGCACTCCAGTTAACGCACTGTGCACGTATATGTATACGATTTAACTATGTCACATTTTCAACAGAAAGGTCCCCAAACTATGATATAATTAATGAATATTCATATACTCGTACATACATTCATAAATAGCAAATCATGACTAATATAAACAATACATTTTGCAGCCATAATAAGAACTAGCTATGTTATACAAAATACATGCTATAACGTTCGGTTATTTCAAAACATCCACACAAAACCACCCATCACAACACTATAAATATTTCGAATTATACATATGAATAAATCATTAAAGCACATACCACAATCATATGCTAACTTTTGAACTATTAATCTTATGTATTTCGCGTTTACTTAATTAATACAAAACATTTTACAAAGGTACGTAAAATTCCATCCTAGATTGTTAGGATTGTTGACTGGACACACACGCATGCATGCACACACGCACACACACACCAACACTTACACATACACACCAATGCATTTTGAATTAATGAAATGTTTATCTACAATTATTGTCATGACACTTCTATTATACTTAATATATATAATTAACATCGTCAACACACCTAGAACTTAAATCTATATTGACATTATTTCATAAATTCAAACACACGACAAGAGGTCCTAAGGAAATTAATGATGTCAGGTTTTACATTGTATTTATTTGGATTATTTCCCTTAAAGATTAATTTTACAAAACTAATCGGTATAACTTCTCATGCGTATTTGGGCACTCAGTGAAAGATAAATGCCAAATGTAATCACATTCGAATGGCCTTTAAATCAAGTAAATTTAGTTTTAGATCTTTGAGCTAAAAACCATAGTCTAGCGTGCGACACATTAACTCAATTTCTACAAAATAATGCAAATTTATTTCACAATCCAGTCATAAATGACAAAGTTTTGGACTGGACACGCAGTCTTTCAAAAAAGCATATCATTATTTTGTAAGTAGAATTGCTTCCTTGGCCTATGTGCTGGAAATAAAAACTGAAACTTATGAATGTAAAGATAGATGCATGTTATGTTTAGTCAATGTTAACCTCATAGTTTAGGAAGAAATGTTGTTTAAATAAATTTTAGGTATCGAAAAACGACGGACGACGGACATATCATCACCCATCACAAAGGCAAGAGTGAGCAAACAGAAATTGGTCAACAATTCAGTTATTTATTGTCACTGTAGCGGCATCAGCAAAATCCAGTTCTTTGACATCTCCTGAAACGATAAAAGAGGATTTGGTTTTAATAGTCGAACGAATGAGTGTATATTGATGGCTTGTGATTCTTTAAATATAGGTATATTTTGTAAACAAGAAGTTTTACCCTTTTAAAGACGATTAACTAGTATATATCTATAAGTCGATGATCAATTCTTTTTCATCCCAGCGCAACATCCGTCATGGTTATAGATAAAACTCTCATAGTTATTTATTCATCAAAGACATAATACTTTTCTTTTGGTTGTTTTAATAATTTTTTTTCGCTCAATAAATTAAAAAAATTTCGTTGCTTTCATTGCTTTGTGACACAACACGTTTTAAATAGCTCCTAGATTATCACATGACCATGCCGCTGATCTGGCTTAATAATAACGGTTTTGCACATCCGTGGACGTCATTTGTGTTGTACAAACACAGCGTTAAGTAAGTGAAACATATGAGACTATCGGGTACGTAAAAGTGTATATAGTTTCCGTGTTACGGTGATTCCATCCATACATGAATAAAAAAAATAAAATAAATGCGCTTTAACATCAATATGTTCACACGGAATGTCAGATATGTTTATATGAATTATTTACTAAATATTTTGCTGCATAAATGCACCTGAAATTCGAACCGAGAGAAATGGTAAAATTTTAGTCAATCTTCACACAACAGGCACTTTACATTAAAGTGAATACACTTGTTTATTACAGGACATGCATAAACAAAATCATCAATTTCGACATTTTTTCTGTGGATTTGTCGTGTCGAAATCTGTCTACTTTCTGTTTTGTCTCGACAACGGGGCATACATTTAGCTACGATGCGGACTTTCAGTGAAAAATGAAAACAGTCATAAATTAGGCAACGGAGCATACATCTGTATCAAAAAATATAAATGAAAATATTGACCTTATAGTGATTTAATCTATAAGTTATATGCAACTATTCTTCTTTTACATTATAAAGTATTTGTGTAAGATAATAAATAGATAAAAAAATTCATGTGCCTTCTTGTTGTTTATCGATTTTTCATCATGTCAATGAAGTACCAATTGGCTGACAGATGAGCAGAAAATGACTAGCGTGCAAGGCATTAAGATGTTGCATAAATAGTATCCAAATTAGAATGCACAGTCGTTTGTAAATATAGTCACCGGTACCGAAACATGGGTTAATTTTCATAAGCCAAAACAAACACCTGACCAAAACAAAATTTTGGCTTCCAAGTCTGACAAAAGACCATAAATTGCAAAAATGTCCATCAGTATAAAGAAAGCAATTATACTAGTTTCTTTACAACCCAAGTTCCGGCCATATAAGTTGCTGTTCCTGAAGACAAATCTGTTAATGCGAAATTTAACAAGTTCGCCGAAAACTAAACGAATATTTTCGAAAATAAAATACCCGCAACATGTTTGGTCTATGTCAGACAACGCGTCATCGCACAAGGAGTCTATAGTGCAAAACTTTTTAAAGCAATAATTGAAGTAAAGATTGGATCCAGAAACTAAAACTTTGTATTCTATGAAATGTGACAAAATTATTTAAGAACAAAACTTGATGCATAAGTTGTCACACATTATTCATGCTGACAGATTAATTACGAGGTTCGGTTTTAAAGCTGTGTACCATTGATAACAAAGTCAAGTAAACGTTGTTTTTTAATATACCTGGTGTTGAGGTGACCATTGTCTTGCGGGTTGAATAAATAATATTTGGTATAGCTCCATGGTCATACCAGCAAACCGGTTCTCCGTCAATAGTGCAAAACCAAAGTTTGTCCCCTTCACAAGTGTTAAATAAAGCACTGGCATAGAAGTGTCTTTTTCTAAAGGTAGAAGAATATTAAATAATAATAGGCTTTACAAATAAGCGGGTATTGGTTTATGTGAGCATGCAATAACGTACGTCAGCACACTTTCCCCTGATTTATACTATTTCTTATAAGCCTTGTTCTGCTAAAAACGCGACAGCCACATTTAATTTCGTATAAAACAAACGCAAGTAAAGGTACAAAATTCTATCATAAACTAAGCATAATGTTGCTTTATTTTAAAGAAAATGTACAAACAGCTAATATAATTTCCACACAATGCATTAACGATATTTGACCGTTATATGTGTCACATATAAATGTTATGAAACACAAGTACATATATACTAAAACATCGTTCAATAGTCTAGGCCTGCTTTCTGGTAATGCCAATCTACTGGTCAAAAGTGGGTTATCTGACGGTTTATAAAAGTTTTGCTAGGAGACTAGTATACTAAGGAAAATGTTCTCAACGATAGATAAATTGCAGGAAGGGGGAAGTGACGTCAGTAGCTATCATTAAAAATAATCATCCGCACTATCTACGGGAATTCAAATCACACATGGAAATAAAATGTAACTGATTCAGATATTCAGAAACAATATTTACTAACATGATTACATTTTTATCATATTTTTTTCTAAATGAAATAGACGTGGAGTCACAAGTATTTCTCATTTCATTTTCCCAAAAAAGGATTCTGAGTGAGTTCACTTTCTCTATTTCAGGTATAATCACACTTCAGTATATTATGCTAAGTATATTTAGCCTTGGGGTCTTGCCTAAGTCGTGATTAACAGCACTGATTAACATAAACACAAATATTCATTTTTTATTTGGCAACATTTGTTACATACCATAAATAATAAGATTCAAAGAGATATATGCTTAACTATGAGTAACAAAAAATAAATGACATACTATGTATACCGCCGTGCTCTCATGTGATAAACAAAAGACAAAGCCATAGCAACAGATTAAAGTTACAAAACGTATCTACTCAAAATACTCACAAAACACCAGGAACAATTCCAAAATAATTAGTTCTTGACGTTTGGGTCAAATCAGTATAGCTTGAATCAATTACACGTTCTTTCTGGAACCAATCCATTTTACTGCTTCCGGTTCCGTTGAAGTCTACCCAAGCAACTTCAGTGGCGTTTTTATAAATGGAATATCTAACCTAAAATTAAATAGATTTAATAACTTTTCAATTCTGATCAAACAGTTTTATGTTGTTTTTTATCTTTGAGATATGAACTCATTATTATTAGAACAGGACTTCAGATAATTGAACAAACAGTAGTAAATGGGTCGTGAAAAGTTTTTGAATTTACAATAAAACATGCCATGCTGGACTAACTGTAAACCGGTTGCAAACAAGATGATACTGCATGAAATGAAAGAAAAATAACATTCACATACTTAGTTAGTTGTTTTTTGTGAAAATAATAGTTTGATAACTGTTTACGAGCTTGCTAAATTCTTTTAAAAATGAAAAAGACGGAGCTCTTCAACAACTGATATTATGACATTGAACATGACGATGTGACGTAATATAAATGTAAAGAATAGAAAGACAGGATTCAAGGTATGGTTTTATGAAAGAAGAATAAAACAGTATACAAATACAGGTTTAATAAAAGTTTCATTATGGAGTCTAAAGCAATTTAAAGTTGATGTATTTATCTTGATTTATCTTGATTATGCGGTCGAAAATGTATTTGAAACGAATTTAACACAATATTGTTTTCCTTAAATCACTGTAAATGTATGACAGGTTCAATTGCTTGTTTTGTGTTTGGTATGTAATTTCACAGCGACTTTACCTTTGTAACATTTAAAGTATCCCATTCGTCAATTCTTGGATCTCTGTAATGGTGGGTGCAATTCGTATTGGAAATGTTTCTGCATGACTTATCACTTGTGGATTCAGTACCGTTTCTCCAGGCATTAAGTGCGCTTTTCCCATTCCCAGCTACAACCTTAAATATTACACCTAAAAACCACAATGTCAAAGACCAATAATTCGCAAATAAACACAGATTTATATTTAGAACTAAAAGAGAAAAAAACATTTAAATAAGATGTTACATCACAATAAACGTTGAACCCAGTTATACAACCGAAACAAAATCGTCCTAAAATAAAGAAATACAACAGTATTACAAAGTATTACAGTACAGCGGTACGACCAAAAGATATCATTTAAGAATTAAACAGTGTAACTGTGGACAAATCAGGCATCCCTTACACTAACAAAGCTCGATTAAATTTAAGGGACACGCTCTGATGTATAAAAATTTGATCAAAATATACATCACCTTAAATAAAAAAAAATAAACATTCGACCAACCTGACATAAAATATTAAACCTCGAACAAAAAAGACATTACTTTGGACAAAACAGTCATAACTTCAAATGTTCAACATAGAACAGAACATCATAGTAAATCGACAGTTTTTTAAAAAATAATAACACTAAGCTGGTTAAAATTTATAAGTACGTATGGCTGCGCCGCTCTTGACCAATTTAATTTTGTAAATACGTACAAGTTTATCAACTTTACCCTATGCTTAACGTTTATATTTCATTCTGAAAAAATATACGTTATTTGAACTGTTAAATATCTAACAAAACATGCAGTATTCACAAAACAAAAAAGACATCATATAATTTCTCTTTTATCTACATTTAACACCCTAAAATTTATCTTACTGTTAAACTTGGTACATGTGATATCCGGATTCCAGGATCCATCCGACATACACTCAATGTCTGACGTCACAGTGTTGACATCAATCGTTGTCTGGCCGTTACACGTCACAGTTCTGACTGATCCTTCAGTTGTTCCACCACTGGATATAGCGGCGTTTCTGATGAAAGGCTCATCACATACTGAACAGTGAAAAATCGTTACACTTACTAGTAATCACAGGGATACAGTTTTCACGGATTTTAGAGATTCGAATATACCATTTTGTGAAATTGCTGTGAGAAATTTTTTTATCAGTTTTTAGTGTATCTATTATAAATAAGAGTGTTCACTTATGACATGTAAGTGCATTCATATTTGCTATTCCCAGGATTTTAAAAACATGTTTAAACAGGTAAAAAAAGAGATATATTCTAAAAATGTTTCCCCATTGACAATAAGCACTTAACAGAAAATTAATATCATTTTTTTCTGCAAATTCTTTCCATAAACGTAGGAAAATATGTAAACACATTAAAATGAAAGAAACAAAATGGATCTATCTTTGACAAAAATCTTAAAGACCTATTATGCCTCAGAAAAGCTTTTACTTTTCTTTTTCAAAAACTTTCTAATTTTAGTGTACTTTCTAGTATCCAAAAATATACTCATTGGCCAATTACCTGAACCATCATTTTCATCTGTGGCTTTTTAGCAATAAGTTCAGTTAGAGTGAATTAGTATTTTGTATGGAAGACAAATTACTTCTTTGTTTATGTTTTGCTTCTTTTATGTCAAATAATTTAGCATTTATCGCTACTTTCTTCAGGTAACAAGCATCTAACATTCGCTAAAATCATTTAAACATTGTAAAATTCATGTATGCCCTTTTCTAAAGATTTAAATTTATTTGTTTCTGAGGTATAACAACCCTTGTGGATTGCCATTACAGCTATATGAAAAATCTTTCAATACAAAGATCTGTTAAAACACTTTGAATAATTTATCATCTTGAAATGTACGATATTTTTATGTGAAAGCCTTTTAAAAGTTATGAATTATATATTAAAAAACTATATGGCGTCCGTAGCAGAGTGGTTTAGGGTGCTGCTTGAATTCGGATGTTTCTTAGCACTTCGTTCCTTTTATTACTTACGGAAGGTGTGTGATTTTACCTTGTCTCCCGCTATAATTGAATTTTCGCACATTAGGCACCAAAAGACTCCCTCCACTAGGATGACTTTTTGTATAAACTGGAGTTTATTTGGATAGAGTATTTGATTGTTAAATAAACGACGCTGAAGACAGTTTATATGAAGTACAAAGTCTGAATTTTTAATATGAGTCCCCTTCATTTAACTTAAGAATAGCGAAGACTTATCATGTTATTTTGTTTATTTTATCTTTTGATTAAACTAGTAAGTATTAGCTTTCGTGTTTGAAATTTGAAGACGTAACTAAAAGACGCTCAGTCTTCTTATGGACCTTTCAAGTATTTATAATAGTATGCAATTTGGCAGACTGACTTTACAACTGCTACACTTGGAGGGTGGTAGCTCTACACTTGTTGATCTGGTTTACAAAAAATAACTCATGTAGTGTTTCAAAGCAAATCAACCTAACTGAGAATAGGAAAGGCTGGCTAAAGTCTTTACCGGGAGTTTCGTACGTCATTATAATTATCTAGTCACTCAAACTCCAGAATGGTTAGTAACTGAATACCCGCTATCTAATCAGCGAAAGTGGGGAAGCTTATTCTTTATAACTTAAAAGATTTGTAAAACAATCTTCGACTGAACAGAACAAGTTTACGATATTGTAGTAACTATATACCATATGAATGTCAGCACAAGCTATTCTCATGTAAACCATATCAAGATAACTTATACTAACCCTTTAAGCACTGTACAGTAGCATTCCATTTTCCATTTTCAAGACATTTGGCGACAACAGGTTTCCCATGCATCTCTGTGTATCCTACGTCACAGTTGTACCGTATGACGTCACCTATTCCTCTAAGATTGCTTAACACTTTTACATTGGCAGGTTGAGTAGCATTAACACATTCTGCGGTTAATAATGACAAAACAACATTTTCTTTTTGATGAGATACATCGTTATTGGTTTTATTTAAGATATAAGTGTTTGAATTTTTGGCAATGATGGAAGAAAACTTTATTGTACTTTCTTTTCAAACAAATTAGTTCCAAACAAAGTAGTTCCAAGTTTTTCAATGCGTCGCTTTACCAAGTGCTTTTTGATTAAGAAAAAAAGATCAAATTCTATCAAGAAACAAATCAGTTTCAATTAAATACTTCTTAAAGTTATTTACCACTTTGTAGGCATCTGTTCGTAGACAAATCGCAAACTTGGCCTCTATTCATTCACCACACGGTTTCTGAATTGAATTTAAAGTTATGGAATAATGACAAGTGATTTTCTAAACACATTAATAAATGTACTTTACTAAAAAACTTTAGACAAAAAATCAAATATCATTTGTATTGAGATCTTTCTTATACTTTTGCCTCAATTAAATTATTTAACTGTTGGTTCAAATCACAAATACTTAGTGGTAACACCCCAGTTACACAGAGCAATCGGTGATTGATCGGTAGTTCTGTGAGCCAAATTATGGAGTGAGCCGATGACAACGTATTTAACACTGATATCACCTATTGGTCACTTGTTTGCCACCTATCAACTGCTATTGGGGAAAGATAAGTTTCATCGGTGAAAAATTACCGATTGGGATTTTTAAACATGTTTAAATTTCTAGATCGGTGAAAATATTTTACAAGTAACCGTCAGCAACCGATATCACGAGATATTTAAGCTCTTAATCACCGATATCGCCGATCGGACAAAGATGACCAAATATGAATCACCGGCCATATCTGACGGAAAGTGTTTAACCACTGATGACTAGCTATCAACCACCGATTAATCAGCGTTGCGCCCGATTTAGCTTCGATTTACAAACGATAAAAACCGATTGTATTTAAGCATTTTTATCAGCGATCCAACCCCGTTTGAGTTTGCTTTCTGTCACCGATGGCCGTTTACACAGAAAACCAGAAATAAAATCACGCATGACAACCGATCATAACAGCGAGTAAATTTATAATCATATGACCGATTGGGGTCCGACCGTCTGTGTTACTGGCCCCTAATTAGTAACATCATGTACGATTGATGTTGCATGCAAAACCCCCCAAAATTCTTATTTAACAAACTGTCATTATCCAGTTAACATCCATGTCAGAGTGATGAGTCTTGAACGTGACCTCCAATTATAACCCAAAGAAATGCATTAGTTTCAAGTGAATACCCTGAATAGTTAGAAAGATTTATGATGATCGAAAAACTTTAACCAAGATTTTTTAAAGTTGAGAAAGGACCATAATTCTGTTAAAACCCATTATAGTGTAACGGACCTTGAAAGCTATCTCTAGTTATTATCCCGAATTTTAGTGAATTAAACTTTGGTAGATTTTAAGATTGATGTTGCATGCAAGACTGTAGCCAATAATTTTCTAAGTTAAAGAAGGGAGCTAGAATTCCATCAAAATCATGTTGCATGCAAAACTTTTAATGATTATTTCTGAAGTTCAAAAAGGGTGTAATTTCTGTCGAAATAGTGACCCAACCTAAGGATAAAAAACCCCAAAACATGCATTCAGTTTCTAGAGAATATTTTAAGTAGTTTTTAAGAATGACATTGCATGCAAGACTTTAACCAAAAATGTTCTAAGTTCAAAAAGTGCCATATGTCCATTTCAATCTATACTAGAGTAATGTCCCTTCACAAGTGACCTCCTATTATTATTTCTAAAAGATGTATGACGTTACTAGCAAATATAATTAGTGGTTGATGATATATGATGTTGCATGCACAAAACCTTAAGGAGTGTAAAGCTGGGACCGATCCTACCTAGGAAAGTCCTGCTATATATTGTAGCTTTTGTCAGAGCTCTTAGTTGAAATATTCACAAAAAGGACATAAAAAACAAAAACAAAAAACAAAAATAACAATTAAACAAAAAGAAAACAAATAGCTACGTGTTCAAAATGAAAAAGCAGAGCGTGACTGTATAGCTTTGTACGTGTACGAGTGTATGTTTGGCTCTGTACCTTCAGGCGTATGCTTGAGGCTGTGTTTTTACGCGCGTGCATGTGTGAATTTGTAGTTCCGTGCGTGCATATATGGATGAGTAGCTTCCAACATGAATGTGTTACCATGTAGCTGCGCAAGTGCGCTTGCGTGGCTGTGAAGGGAAACGCCTGCATGGGTTAGCATGTGGCGGAGGAGCTTTGCCCTTGCATGATGGTATTATATTTCGGCGCATACATAAGTGGCATTGTATCTTAGGATGTGTATTGTGTTTCAAGTCAAACTAAGACATACCGTCTGAAAAATGATGTCCGATTTTTTCACTCGCATACACGTGCCGTTTCTAAAATCCTTCAAACTTGAATCTAGTAAGAAAAGTTCACAAATACCTAACTTATTAACATAATTCAATGTTTTACAATGGGGCCGTAATCCACATTCAAGAACACAATCGTTAATAGAAATGCCTTTGTAAAAGCCAAAACGAGTGTCCCCTTCCTTACACTTTGTTGTCCCGGAGAGCGTATAACTAAATGAAATCCCGTTTACTTGAATGTCAGTAAAACTATTTGCAAAGTTGAAAATATAAAAACAAATGAAATATGAAAACATTTTCATTTTTGCCTATGAGTCCTTCAGTTAAATGAATTACACTTGTGCCTTAAACAAAATTTCGTGCATCGCGTTTTGTATATTTTTCTGTTTATTCAAGTATTGCCAACAGAGTTGAATTATTAATAAAGTTAAACTCGTCATAGATAAACTGACATGCGCAAATGGTATCATTAAATAATAATTTCCTGTTTTCAGTTGAAACTTTTGTATATATCTTAAATCAGTTTCAAAATGGCAAATTACTTGTATTCAAACTGGTATCATAGTTGTGGGACTTTTCTGTTGAAAATGTGTCAGTGTTAAATCGCATGCATATACATGCATAGCGCATTAACTGGATTGCAGGTATAACTTTCCCGCACCCCAGAGCATGCCCATTGATTGGCTCATTTTTGCTTGGGACAGAGAAAGGGAAAGCGATAGAAATATCATATTCAAATGCTCGTTCATTGGTTACTTTTTTCTGGGGTTTCATATTGTGACAACAAGGAACGTGTTACTATGTTTGACTATGATACAAAAGAGAAATAACATCCAAACACTAGGCAATCAGATTAATACTCTGGGGGCTACGCAGTCAGAATACTAATCGTGTTTCAATGCTCTTTCTATTACATGTAGCTCCCGACAAATATCTCTCACTTGAGCGCTATACCACATAAAGATCGTCAAGAAAAACAACGGGAATATTTGTTAACAACTGCAAGTATTTCAAATTTCATACCTCGCTTCAACGAATAAAGCTTCCTGTCATAAAGTTGGTAAAGGATATTCAACGTCGATGCCAAGAAAATGTTAACTTGCATCATCGTCAGCATCATCGTCATCATAATCGTCAACATCAACATCGTCATCGTCATCATCATCATCATCAGCAGCAGCAGCAGCAGCAGCAGCAGCAACATCATCATCATCATCATTATCATAACAATCATCATCACCACCATCATCATCACAACAATCATCACCTTCATCGTCATCAACATCGTTATTAAAGTCATTTTCACGTCAATCATCATGAAATCCAATATCATCATTTTCATCATCATCAATTATAAATTCCTGACTTCCAAAATCTTTAATAGTTAAAATATAATAATGATTATTATCATCACATTCATCTTCATCACCACCATCTTCATCGACGAGGTTCATTTCATATTTTATTGTGTGCATTTTGCAGTAATTAGATGCTAATTTAAAATATAAACGATTTAAACAGCAATTATTAGTGTCTAACTGACGTCCTTGACCTACTTTTCTTATGCACGGACTCTGTAGTTCCAGATTGATGAGACGTTAAACAAAAAGTATCCTTAAAAAGATACTTGGCCGTGGTGCTTTTACTTGCAAAAACCTTTTCCGGGTTTTATTTCTGCGGTTTAGGTTAATATTTACTGGTATAAGTTGCATTTCTTTCTCTTTGTACATCACAACATATACGCATATGCGTCAATGTTTTGAGCTTTTTTGATTTTTTCTTCTGATATTTTAATTTGTTCTTATTTCACACGCCCACTTCTCTTTTTCCTAGCCTGCTTTATTAGCTGTACTTTAAAAATGAATGGTAAGGGATTGCATAGTCAAAATGCATAAAAAAGAGCAAGCCGGTCTTGCTTTTTTGCTAATTACTTTTAAGTTCTTCAAAATAAGGACTAAATAAGTCACAGCACTTATCTTGACATGGAATTCTAAAACATCATTATATCACATTTGAAATTGGAATATACAGTTCTGTTTAATGCATGCCCTTTACTCAAGATTAAAAATAAAACGGAATTCAAATGATGAAAGAGTCATATAATATAATGCTGTTGAGAAGCAAACATAAAAAAAATAAAAATAAAAAATTCTTTCTGAAGCGGAGCATAATGTGGCTTTAATGCTTGTGCTATGGATAAAAAAGTCTTCTATAAGACTTAAAACGAAACCAATATACGTACAATGGATCAATACCCCACTTAAGAAATGAAATCAATAAATGTTTTTGTTTTGACATTTTGCCTACTAATGGATCTAAAGTCCTTTTTTTCAATAAATGTTGGTACGTAAAACACAAATCATACATATTTCATCAACAATAATAGCTAAAAGGTTTTACTTTATCTTTGCCTGAAATATTAATGCTTTTTTAACAAACATTAAGCCAAATTATCATATGTCTCCTACCATTGATTCATAAATCATGTGAAATTAGCTGTCGGTCACTTGCCTAGAAATTCGTGATGACTTGTCAGTATTCCAGGAAATACGGGTATGTAGACCGACCGCTGAGATGACCTTAAATGTATTCTATATTCCGCGAAAACACCGAAAACATGAGCACAAGTACATACATTTTGATGTCAAATTATCTCCGCTTTGTTACTCCATGAATATCCCGTAATGCCAGAGGTGAAAATAACGCAGAAATTGTGCAAAAGTTACACCGGACATGAGTCAATCTATCGGTGAATCGAGCATCGCGGTAAGTAAATGGACCATTGTACTTTATAGCAAATAACATTAAATTCAATAAGCGCAAAGTGATAGTAAACATTATATAATGAACATCGTGAAAAGCTTGATCAAGAAAATGCTTTTTTTTTCAAGAACATTTGCGAGACTACGGCTATATCGTCGATAATTATTGATACAACTACGCATTAAGTATGTTGATTATTATTATTAATTATCATTATTATTTGATATTCGGTATACTCGTACCTTGCCTAACACTGGTGACCTCAGCAAACTTTGTACAGCGTTACATACTACTTATACCTTTATAAGACTTGATGAAAAGATGATTAAGACGTAAATATTGACATGTGAAAGGTTCCTAATTACCTCCCTTTCTTCAAAAATGAAACGTTTGAAATTGTAAAAACAATAATGATCATTTCTCTATATATGTGTTCGATTATGTTTTAGAAAATGTTAAGCATATCTTGACCAGCTCAAACATTCATTGTATGTTTTCTTTACTTTATATTTATATTTTTTCATTGCAGCATTCGAAGTAAAGATTCTTCTTTGTAAATGTTGCAAACGGCATATTCAATAGTTTTTGTCGCCATTCCCGCCTTTCGGTTATTTAGGAATAAAAACATTTAAACAGATTTGTCGTTAAATTTACTTAATATTGTATATACATTTGTAACGAGCAAACAATATGTCTGTGTGTTGCCGAATGATAAATATATCAGCAAGGTAACAGCCATTAAGTGAGTGTCCAATGTTCCTGTTAAAAACAGTAAAAAGAGTTACATAAATCAGGGTGGGTGATCACGCGACATTTGTTTACGGTAAATGTGATCACTTCTAATTTTTGTTTGCTATTGTTTTCATTGTATCTTTCAATGTTTTAATAATTAATATATACCATGACAAATATTTTCTTATTCTAATGGTATATATTTTTCTAATGTAACATTTTATACCATTACATTTGGCAAATACTCATCTAAACATGTTCAAATATTGAAAGACATAACGAAAATTTAGCAAATACCATTTGCGGTGACTCACTGTTACCATAAACAAATATCACGTGATCACATACCCCGTAACTAATGACGTCTTATAGTATAACATCCGTACAAATTAGTTTACCACTTTAAAAAAGAACTTTAAAAATGAGATCAAGACTTAGTTTAATAGAATATTTATTAACAAAAAAATACAGAAGAATACATTCCATCTCAAAGAAACATATAAAAAAGCAAGTATTAATACAGTATATATATTCCAATTATCTGTTAACAAACAATGATATATAGAGGTCAAGCAAATCACCCCAAATACGATTTGAATGTTGCTGGAAATGAAGTGTAACAATTCTGAAATTACTCTCATTTCCGTGTAAAAGCCTAATGATATAATTATGGAAATTCTTAAGTTGATTTAATTTAACACAAAATGCACTCAAGCATGGCTTAAATTACCCTACCCGAAATATCGAAAAGTGTATTTTTACTCTGTAGTACAATGTAGTAACAAATTGTCGGAATAGGATTGGAACTAAATCAAACCCTTATTACGCATAATATCTAAAATTGACTTGTCCGGAATGAAAGACGGACAAAACCATTCAAAATATTTACTGTCTGAATTACGTACAGTCCAGTACGTGGTCTTTTTCTGCACTGGTGGGATAGTTAGAACCAGTTTTCGCCTGTCTAAAGGTTTAATACATTACAACGTAAATATGTTGATACAAAACATCTACATGCATATACATCTCATTTTGTTCTTTTCTAAAACTGACGCAACTTAATTGTGATTAATTGCAGCATATATTTTGAACCTTTGTGCCTTTCTCAATACTTTAAAACCTCTACTGCTTTGATTTTCATTGGGAACTTCACTTCTAGAATTCTGAATTGAATATCGGGAAGTTTATAACAAAAAAATAATGTTAGTAAATGATTATCTAGAATAACCCCTACAAAAATATATATGTAATTATAAAAAACACGTATATTATAAATGTAAAACACCATTGCATTTTTCTTTAAATGTACACTTCAAAGAATACTCAAGTCCTTCAACACTTTCATCAATTATTTCTTCGGGGCTGGAGCTTTATAAAGTTTTAATGTATATAAAAGATTCATAAACTGGCCAAGATCTATCATGCCGTCTTCACCTTTACAGCTTTTCATAAAAAAATCTATTTCCTTTTCTTCTAAATTTCTTCCAGTTGCAGTTTTTAATGTTTTGAGGCCTTCCTTTGCCTCATCACTGTCCAGCTTGCCGCTTCCATCTGCGTCTATTTCTTTGAATTTGTTTATCACATCCTGGGCACTAAAATTAAGAGGGAAAATAGCAGCATTTGAAAAGATGAAACACATCTGCAGATGAATCTTAATTCAAAATTTCACCATTTTCATGTTTAAATGTTCAACTCTTCTTTAGCCCGTGCTAGTGGGCGTGGACGGTAAATTGCAATTACAACAACCGTCCATAAACATGCTCAATCAAACCGATCTTCCAACATTTTTAATATTGCCTTTTCTGGATGGTCTTAAGGGATTCAGGGATTATGTTTTTCTCTATTTGTGTAAATCATATCATAATAAACATTGAATATGTTTAGAAGAAGACGTAGAATTTCCTCTATGGAACTGCTGATGGATGTTGACGATAATAACGATAAAGAAATTATCCGGAGGGTAAATAGAGGTTAAATCTGATCACCCCAAGACAAAAATATCTCTACATGTAGTGAACGAGATAAAAACATATATTTTAAAGAAATGTTACTGTCAAAGTTGATATGGCACGAAAGCACGGACATAATATATTTATCTTGATAGCGACATCTTACAAATTGAGATATTTGCAGGAAAGATAAAAGAAAACTCTTGTTACTTGACTCCGAACGTAGATTTACAGAATGCATTAACAGTTTCTATATCACTGATTTAAATACATATATCAATTGAAAAACAAATCGCTGTGCAGTCTCTGTTATTTCACATGCCAAAATCATGTGAATGTATTTCGTTATAATTTCAAAAGACTTTTATGTAATTGGTTCTGACTTACTTCGTTATTAATGTTTTAAATAGATATCTTACAAAGCTGTAAATTGTTCAAATCTGTTAATACAACTTAATCTCGCGACAAATACTGGCTCATATATGATATAATTCATGTGTGGATGTTTCTAAATATAATTCTATGTTAAACTCTTTCATGCTAAATTTTGCTAATACTGTGCTAGCGGTTCTTTGCAAAAATATCTTCTATAAACACGCGCAATCAAATGTAGCCTGCGAGTGAGCGTTGTTGATGGATTCTTTTTTTACTTCAATATTTCATTTGAGATTAAAATGCTTATCATACCCCAATGTCATTTTATTTCTGGATATATATATGTATATGTGGTAAGATACAAGAAACACGGTGTTTTTTTAATTATTTGTTATGTAAATACCAATCGTGTTTCAAAACATTGATACTGGCAATAATGCGGAAAAAAATACCATAAAGAAAAATGTGTAGGTTTCCTTAATAGTTCCAAAATAAAATCGTTGAATTTGGAAAAACAAAACAAAAGATTTAAGTATAATAAGTAATGCGTCTTCAATCATTTGTTTTTCTTCGAAAATAGTCTATTGTATTATATTTCAACCACAAAATGATTACCCTCATAGCGCTATCAATTTTTTTCTTTTATAAAGCTAATTTCGTGGATTTTGTCTGGCTTCTGATTTGTATCAAAATGCTTACCAATCGCCGACGCTCATGTAAAATTGCTGAAACTCCCATATGCTCATTATTCCATTCTTATCCTTGTCAAATGTATCGAACATGATCTGTCCCTGTTCATCATCAAGACCAAATTCTTGTTGAAACAATTCCAGAGCTTGTTCTTTCTTCAGATTTCTCACATTATTCTTCATATACTTTTCAAACACGGCTAACACCTCCTTCCTGAAAATGCAAACGAAAAGTTATTTCAAATGAGTTTTTTTGAAAATCGATAATAAAATATTTTGGATAACCGTAATAAATATCAAAACCTAATGTACATTTTCATATATCTTGGGTGTTCGAGAATTCAAAAATTATATATGGTGGATCAACTATGCAAGTTTAATGTAGGTTTTTTTGTTTATTTTATTATTTTTTGTGTCATTTTTGTAGAAAAGCCAACATAGTGAGAGAAAATCATCAAAATGTTGAACAAATTTTTTCAACTTCTCTTTAGAACGTAAACTCAAAGTATTAAGGATAAAACATTTCCAATTTTTCTTGTACTATATTATAATCTCCATGACAGAAGCAGACGCGTCCATATTAACATGTCATGATATGAAAACCTGAGTTATATTTTACAGGCATATAAAACTCGTACGTCGAATTATCTGTATATACTATCAAAACATATCAGGTATAGGGAGAAACACACATAATTTACAGTAGTGCCAGAGAAGATGTTGCGCAATAAAATAGATAAGCATGCATGATACGTGTTCGGTAACCTAATTGCTTGTGTAAAAACTGAATGAATAAAGTAACTATATTGAGGTTCTGATCACACAGAAACACATTGTGCAATTTAGATAATAATTGCAGATTCTGAAAAGTTAAGTGGCATGTCTAAGAGCACTGCTGAATATGTCTTCCAAGTTATGACATCATCCAAAAAAAAATGAAGATGAACTGAAATAAATGGCTGTTTCACCAATATGACAGGTCCTATAATATAATCATTTTACATGCAGACGCACATAATAATACACGATTTCTGTCAATTTAGGGTACTGATGATGATTCAATGCTATATATTGTGCACATAGAGAGAATTAAAATCAAATTATAACAATAGGAAGATTCCCTTAGCCATGAACAAATGATTGATATTAGCTCTGATGGTAGACATATGTAAGAGTTGTTTATAAACTGTTTTAAAAGGAAACATAACCCATATTATTACCCTTCCAGATTTTTTCCGCCTTTTTGATTGGATATTGATCACCCGAAAGAAATTGATATAACCGAGCCAGACGGGTAATATTCACACTAAATTTCCCCGTTGGGTACCCAACGTTGTAAACAACATGCACTGAGGTGATGCGCGTACGGTTCGATTTTACGCGGTGTAAATTCCGATTTAAAAGCACTTTTTAACTGTCAAATGATAAATATTTACCAAAGTAGAGTAATGATACATATTACCATCGGTATGGAAAACAAATATGACCTTGTGAAAGCTTGATATTAATTACAAAAAAGTGCGTTCCTTTTCTCTTGTTTACATTCGTTAGGTACGGGAAAATGCGTCATGTATTTATGTGACGTCATGTTGTGACGAAGAGGTACCCTAAAGGGAATCTTATTTCGTCGTTTCATTTGAAACAGCAATGATTTTTTTAAAAATCGTCTAAACTCGGCAGGGGAAGGGTAATAAAATTATTATTTTGATTTTGGAGTGATATATGTGGATATATTACCTGCCAAGATAAAATATCACCCTCGCCTAACGGCTCGGGTGATATAAAATCTTAACAGGTAATATATCCACATCACTCCAAAACCAAAATAACATATATTATTAATGCGAGGTAGCTTGTGTCAATAGCAAATAAAGTCAAATTATTTGATAAGTAGATTTCTTAGCCTATGACTTAGCCTATGAAGTAATGTCTGATAAAAGCTCTGATGGTAGACACATGTAACAGTTGTTTATAAAATGTTTAAAAAAGGAAATATAAGCCATATTATTACGAGGTCATAGATGTTAATGCGATAGTTTGAGGTATTTCATATCTCATTAGTGCGAATGTCTGTGGCAAATGTTATTTTGGCGGTAATTTTAGCAGACTACTCAGTCGTTTTCACGTATACATATAATGCTGGGCAAAATACCGAAAACTTTGTCTTAAACATGTATCTAGGAAAACATCGTTGTTATATTTTATTGATACAGATAATGCTTTTACTTAATAATAATTTGTATATGTTGGCATTTGGTTGTTAGGTTAAATATTAGGATAATTTAAAAGTGCTGGACAAGAGTTGCACGGCAAATTGTGGTCGAACTAAACAAATCTCATTATTTGACAACTATTCTAAATTGAAAATTATTGTTATAAAAAAATGTGTTGGTGAGAATCATATTGCCGTAAACAAATATTTTGACTTAACTCTTTGCAAATATACTTCAACTGGGTATTAAAAATGGTGTAGTTTCAGGTTTATGTCATAAACAGAATAATCAACCGTTTTTATGGCATCATCAACCGCTAATTCAACAAAATATGTTTGCATGTCGAAACAAAAGTTAGCAGAAGAGTTCTGACTTAGCCTATATAGAACAAGGTATTCATCTCCTGTGTGGAATTTCCGCATAAAATGAAGTAAAGGGCAATAAAATATGAAATGTGTAAAGTGTTATCATATGTGTTTACTGTTAGTTAACCATTGTTTCAAAGAAGAAATTATGGAAACCTTTAGACAATAACGATTTCTTTCTTGATCGTAGTTCATCTGACGAAAATGATTTTATTCTAGGGAAATAGTGGTTCGAGATACCATCATAACAAAATTGATATATGGATCAAACGTTCATCACCTTTAGTAAACTGATTAATTGTATGTATATTGCTTGCCGTATTGGAATAATTGTATGATTGCAATAGTAAAATCATTAACAACATTTCATGGCATTTATCAGTATCAAAATTCGTTATCAAAATATTTTATTCCGCTAAACATGTCCTTTATTTCATTACAAGTCCTCTGGACACTTACAAAAATTGTCACCTTAGTACAATAACTGATAAACTCATATTAAATTTAGAAGAGCTTATTCTGTACTGCACTTAGGCCACGAAATGTATGTTTAGCGTAACGATGGATAACAATAGCTTAATTCGCGTTCTAATGTTTTCCAATGTGTTTGAATATTAATAATATACACGATGGTACAGATAAATTGTGATTCGTATGTAGATTTTATTTTTGTAATTTAACTGAAATAATTAAATCCAATTTGTTAATAAGAAATTGCTATGTACGAATTAGATTTAAGCGTTTGTATACTACATTGTACAATACATCTATTATCAAATATCTTTCTTCCGTATTTCTGAGGCTTTTAACGATTTACAAAGTAAATGACATTTTCGGCAAAACAAATGTTTGAGTTATGCTGTACGCAATTAAATAACGCTTGATATGTGATAATGAAAACAGATAATAATTTATATACTCAACGCATCTGAAATTTTTTTGTTGTTTTTTCTTTTTGCTCAGTAATGTAATGTTTGAAAACAAGCAACATCGCGATGAATATACTAACGATGAGAATATAATATTTGGTTGAGAAGCAATTAAGCCGTGATGCTATGTTTATGTTATTTACATTAGCCGAAATTTCTGATGTTATATACATGCCAAAAAATGTATGACTGTTTCAATCGGTGTATGATTAATACAGGTGTAGTAAGTCTAGGGGTTTCTTTATAACAGACGGCATTCGTCTTTTTTTTAAGCCAAGTTTGAATACAAAGCGAGTATATACGTTATTAGCATACCTTTTTGAATTACTTCGCCTCTGAACTGATTAAGTTGCCAATAGTAAACATGTGTATATGAGTGTACAATGCATTGGTGATTTATTTACCATATTTTTACTAGGCATTCCTATCTTAAACATAGATGCGCAAGACGCGTTTTCTATCAAGACGCGTTCCTTATCTTCATATCTACAGATATCGTTGATTTAGAGATATTGATATAATGATGCGCATTTGACTGATAATGTACGATAGTTGAATAAGTATTTACATAACACTGCATGATATTCTCTGGTTCGTAATTATATGCACATCCTAAATCGTCAGCAAAATAATATATAGATAAAAAGGTAGCGTTCTGGCGTCTGAGACGTTTCTTATAGACCACAGCTGATTAACGGTATTACAGTGCATTTAATTTAATCACGTTTTGTTTATGTAGGCGGTGAAATGAATTTTATGAAAGCCAAAACAGTCTGCGACGGATGCGTGAATATATTTATAAACAGTATGTTTTCTAAAAGCTAGACTATTGTTAAGAGTATAAATAAAGTGATTAAGTGTTTTTGAAATTATTTTTGCTCAATGAATGCGAGTATTCGAAATGTATTTGAGTCGAATTGTATTTGAGTCGCTTTTGATTAATTTGATTATGTAAAAAAATTTGTTATAATAATATAGATCTACACTAATGTAAGCATTTGATAAGTCAAAATATTTCAACTTAACTATTACTCTGTTATTAACAGAGTAGAAATACGTTTAATTAAGTACAACGTTAAAAATTACATGAATTGTGAATACGGCATCTTTCCTTCGGCATTTTTTTTTATAATTTTTAAATCAATGTTAACTCTATCACACGTCTGGTGATGTTATGTGTCTTATTTTTTAAAGTTGAATGTCATTTTAAAGACATGTTTTACTTTTCTTTATTGTATGTAATAAAATATTTTAATATTAGGGAATATCTTAAGTCGGAGGAAAGTTCGGACAACAGTACAAAAAGTGTTATGCAATCGTTATTTATATAATGGTATGTTAGTAGACCAAGCTGGGTTATATTATTTGAACAATTTTCAGTATGTAAAGCAATCTTCATACATTTACAAGACATCAATTAAGCTTTGAATCTTTGAAAATGTAAAAGTCAATGTTTTTAAAATTTAAATTGCGCCTTTTTTGTCCATGTTACATTTTTTCTTCGTTCTCGTTTAGAAGTAGCGTTTTTAATGTCTATGTTACATTTTACTTCATTCAGAAGTAGTGATTTTTTGTGTTAGCATAGAGAAAAAGAAACGTCAATTTTCTGGCGAGAAGATAACTGAATAAATTAATAGAAAACAAACTTACGGAATTTTTCTATTCCTCATAGCCATGTTTCCTGGTTTTACCTGTCGTCGATCACAGATCACAGATCAATCAGGGATGAGAGTATATATCAATGTGTAGAACATGGGCGTGCGCATAAACTCCTACACTTCACTACTGTAAGCACAAACATGTTTCCGGTTCGATATTTTCACGCTATAACTATAAACATAAAATCATTTTTACTTGTTAATAAACGGTAATAAAACATGAACATAAAATCTTAAAACTAAAAAGAATGCTGTAACATGTTATAAATATATTTGAGAATAAGATTTTGAAAATTATAAAATTGATTGTTTGCGTGATTTCCCACTCGGTAGCTCAAACTGTTATAATATCTATATTACTGAAGATACTGCCAGTTTTTATCTGATCCGAGAAACTAATAGATAGATGTGAAGGCAAAGGAAATGATTCTGCAATTCATTACCACAGGGGGTATGGTAGTCAGGATATGTTGGATTACCTCTTCTGACATCTTTGAATTTATCATCTCCTCAACCTGGAAAACCCTCAGCGAGCAATGTTTACTACATTAAGCAATTGTTTTTAATATTACAGTAACATGTTTAAACAGACTGCTGGAGAACATCATAAGTATAGATACTAACACAAATGTACGCCACAGTTATATTAATGAATTTCAAGTGTTCTTCATTCTTTTCAAAAGTTCCTATTTGATGATGATTGAATAAATGATGATATATACAAATAAAACTATATGTTTGTCTTGTTCAAATTACAAATAAAACATTCAAATAAACATACAAATGTCTTTCTACATTTGTAGGGAATAAATTTCAAATAAAACATCAGAATAAAAAATATGTCCAGTAAACAAGTAAATATCTAGAACTTGTTTGTTCTGAATCTTAAAAAACAATGTTCTATAATCTAACACAAAATATTATTTATATTTTATGAGTTTCTTCACTTATATTTTGCTAGCTGCATAAAAATGTGAACGTTTTATGAATGCTATAAAATTTTGAATTACCTTGACGTTTTTACAGTCTGCACAGACACGCATTCCTCTTTCATGACGAAGAAAGCGTTAGTCTGACAATCATACAGGAACAAAACTGAAAACATTAGCAGTAAAAAATAAGATTACTTCAACCAAAGATAAATAATAAAACATTTTTTTCTCAAAATATAGATTTTCATTTTGTTATTTTCTTAAAAAAGATTTTAGTTTTGTTTTACAAAGAGCTAAATAAATTGAACAAAAGACAGTTTGACTTCGACGATGTTTCCCTTACATAGATGCCTCACGCATTGAGAATTAAATAATGGTGCATGTGCATTTCAAGTTGATAAGAAACAATTGGATTCCCGATATGGTGTGCACATTTTCCCATTGATATACAATAAAATCTTAATTTCTGTTGAAACACTGCTAAATCCATAAAATACCTTCATGTTATTCAAGCTATAGTTAAGAGTTTGAATGTTAATATAGGAACAAACACTGATTCTTAAATGATAAAAATGAACTCTGTCAAAGCAGAGTCTTTCAAATAGAAAAGAACAATATAAAATTGAAGACCCTGGTCAAAGATAATAATAATATGGTGTCGGACACAGATAAAAGTAACATGATGTAAAGCTTACATACCTTCTGGCCACAATACCGACATGTAAGATTTGTAATATAATAACAAAGAACAGTGACCTTCAGATAATATTGTCTCTCAATAATTAACTCTCCTTCTATGTCCACACTATAAAAGTAGCACATGAAAATAGTTGAGGTAATAGATATATTCTTTATTACAAAAAAATAAACAAAGAAGATCATAGTTCATATTACACTTGCGAAAAGTGCAAAAGTTAAAGTTATTAATCGGAAATTTAAAAATGTAATTTAAAATAAGTAGCCAGTAATTTAAAGTCTTTCATTAAAAATTCAACATATATTTTACTTGAAGATAAAAATATAGACATTTAACAGATAAAATTTTATGCCGAACATATGCTCGAATAAAAGATTTTAAGTATGTTACAAGTAGATATGTTTGCAGGAAATTTATTGATAACGTAAGAAAACGTCCAATAAACAATATTTCTATATACTACAGCATTTATAAAAAATGATAAAGATATATTAAAGATATGGTGATATAATGTTGAGCTTATCAGTATTTTCTTATCTTGCACTTGTGTTTTATAAAATAACATACAAAAATCCTATTGTAAAATGATGAAAATAGTACTTCATTATGTATGCAAATCTATCAAAATCTATGAGCAGATAGACCAAACCATAAATGGTGACATAGAAATAATTACAAAAATGGTAACATTTTGTAATCTGAAATATTTTACCCATTTTCACTCTTTTGCAACTTCCCTCGTCTATTTCAGACCATAATTTGCTGAAAAGGTTGCCGTAATTACTCAACTTCATTTATAAATGATAAATTCTATTTTTAACTATTAAAAAAAAACACAAGAATAAAGATCAACAAGGCGCAAAGGCAACGTTCACAGGACGCAACCCCAAACACACCCAAGCAGGGCACCCAGAAGACACCCAACGTCTAAAGTTGGTCTGGTTTATCCAGTCATTTTGCCGAAAGCAAGCTGAGCATCCAATAATGGTTGTATTCTTCAATACTACCCATTTATACCATTTTGATAACAATTTCAAGACACAAGATGATTTCCTTCAGCAAATAAAACTCATAGAAATAATACATGAAATTGTGGGGTTCAATTATAATGTCCATAAGGTCAATATTTTGATAATAGTTACTTTGTTGCAGATAATCAATGCTTCTTAAAAAATGCTTAATTTACATAAGAGTATATAAATATAAAATAGGATTACTTAATCACAAACTTAACATAATATCATGAATTCAGATAAATAAAAAAAACTGTAAAGTCTTTGGGTCAAAAATAGACAATTATTGTTATATAAGTCGCAAATTTCATTTCATTTAATTAGTTATGTAAAATGCGTTTGCTTACCACAATATACCTTCTCAATCACAATTAAATTACCATTCTCTTGAGGATCTCATCACCCTTATCAGAGCATGGTTATGAGAAACATTACCTCTTAGTGCTTTAGAAACAGGTGCCACCTCTCACTCAAATATTAAGTTAATTGCATGTTTTGATCGCAATAACTTTTGATCGCAATAAAATGAAAAATAAAAACGTTGAAGGATTAATCTTACAATTTTTAAACAGGACACCTGAAGAGTAAGAGAAATTAAATAAAATAGGTATTGGGTATGCTTATGAGAGATGAAAAACGTGCAATGAGTCTATGCCCCTCTCCCCAGCACCGGTTTTAGCAGTGTCAATCTTCAACAATATAATTAATGGTACTGAAGGAATAGAAATATCGGTTAACCCTGAAGTACCCAATACATGATAACTTTCTAAGTTGCCAAAAAGTACTTAAAACCAATAAAAAATCGGAATAAGTATTTATGTCCAACAAGCAGTTTTTGACTCACTTGTCTAATTTCAGGCCTCTGCGAAAGACGATCGGATTTTATCGAAAATGAATACTTGACGACTGTATCCGTAATAACAAATTGTGTTAATATATCTTGATTTCACACATAGAACCTTTAATGATGTGAAGTGCCTTACAGCATTTAGAAATGAAATTGTCTTTATCGACAAAAGACTTTACTGTTCTCGACCACCGAAAAAAACACGATACGCTATATATGATTTTCTGTTCTCTTCCGTATACTTCGATTTAGAGCACAAATACAACAACGCGTTCGTAAGAAATTAACGTCTTCAGCAACTTTTACAAACGTTGTTTATACCTGATTTAGAGGACTAATTGACAGTTTCTCATATCACTGTTATTATCTTCCATTGTACAAAAATATTACTGCATCACTTTTGCCGCAAAAGTGACACATGGACGCCGTAATTTCACCAAGTGACTGAAAGTAGTTCCAATATGTCGCCTTAATTTTTCAAATGTTTTTGCGAAACATAGTTTCCAAGTGGATCATATTGATTTGTTTTCAGTATTTCCCTTTTCTATAGTAGCAGGAACAATTTGTATTTAAATTCACTTGTAGGCGATTACAAGTATTGTTTTTGTTCTTTATATGCATAAATTTATCTTCTTGGCTATATTTTCAGAAAAGTTCTTTTCATTCATTTGAGCCGCGCCATGATAAAACCAACATAATGGGTTTGCGACCAGCATGGATCCAGACCAGCCTGCGCATCTGCGCGGATGCGCAGGCTGGTCTGGATCCATGCTGGTCGCAAACCCATTATGTTGATTTTGTCATGGCGCGGCTCATTTATAGTAGTTCAAGTTTATGATTTCAAATATTTTTGATTGTTCTGTATATGTTATCTATCTTTTTATCTGTGTTGGATCGTTCAATGTAATTTATTTGTTGTAATTCACGTGTCGATAATAACAATGATTTTTATTGTTCTTGATAATTTTCTACCTTTCTACCTTTCTCCATTGTCATTTATTTATTTTTATTGACATTTCTATTATTATAAATATTATTTTGGTTCTTAATATGCAATTATACATTTCTGTTTGCTATCATTTTTTAATTTTTATTAATTTACTTGTTTTAAGGTTTAGAAGGAACCCTGATGTTATATACTATAATACATATGTATTAATTTTCTTGTCTATAGGCAAACATGCATTATTCTTTTCTCTGTGTTTACAGTGGATTAAATGCTATATACTTTATTATTAAAATTATTATTTCCTTTATCGTATAAAGTGTAATTCTATTGTATTTATTTGCCAAAGTTATAATTTCCGTTTCATACAAATGTTACAGTAAATTAAATGTAATATAAGTAAATTCTCCCTTGGGTTTTCTCAGAATATTCAGGTAATTCTAATTCTTGATTTGAAAAAAAAATGTTTGATAAGGTTTAAATACGTATCATGCATTAGGTTTAAAATTAATTATGTAGTTAACATTAATTCTTATTTAAAGGTATTGAAATGACATAGAACCGCTATTTTTCTTGTACACACAAAAGCAAACAGGTCCCGAGACACCATGAATGAACGTAACTTTCTATTCATCAGTTTAAATGCAAATAAATTCATTTTTAAGAAAAGAGGTGGCTTTTGCCAATGTTGATCGGCTTCATAAAATATTCATAAATACGCATTGTTCTTTTTTATTGCTGACATAAAATATTTACAAACGCGCATTGTTTTTTTTTCTTTTGCTGCTTATATGTTTGCAATCTCAAAAGACAATGGTGTTTCCCTCAATAAAATGTGTAACATTTAGCTATCGATGCTATAAAAATATACTTTTATGATTTGAGTCTGTATTTACAAGATACTGCACCTGTCTGTTAACTGGGTATTGAGATTAGATTTTAAGGTATTTCGACACTTTAAGATATCTTATTAAAAATAAACTTTGTTGGAATTTACAATATTTGAAACATCTCTCATTCTCAGTTAATTTAAAAAAATTAATCATGAAACAAAAATAATTTATAACATTTACAGGAAAGGTACGCAAAGTTGTATTTGATGTGTATAAGATACAAAAGATTTATATCATATAGACATTTTCTTCGTCCGTGATAATAAGCTGATAAGCCCAGCCTTTTGATAAGCCTACAAACGCGATTACGTCGATCAATCAAAAAGAGTTATAAAAAGATATATGAAACACGTGCTTATTTTATGTAAACCTCAAAATGTGTTTTTCATTTCTGCCTAGTGCAATGTAAAAAAGAATTTTTCTGTTTTGCGTCTCACGAATTGACTCCCTTGACATACTTGTTTTATGTGGTAACGAATTGTCTCCCTTGATATTCATTAACTATTCAATACGTATCAAGTATGTATTTCTTATTGTATCAGGATGAAAAATATAACAAAGACATGACAATTTATATAATTTTATTTCAGTAAATAAATATATATAAAAAATGAACAAATATATGTGCATAATGAGCATGCATGACGATATGAAATACAACGCGTGGTATAGACCATTGTGAATGATGAGCACATGTCAACATGGTAAGATGGCTAATGCGCGAATAAAAACATGAGTTACGATGATTTGTAGCATTATCTATGATATACTAAAGTTTGGTTTGACTGTGTATTCCTTGAGCAAAAACAAAGCAAGAAAGGCTGTTGAATAATATACGACTTTATTGTTACTTTCTTGCATTATATCAGCATTTTCTTTTGTATAATGTACTCGAAATATGTGTTACATTTTTTAAGTTTTTCAGCTTTTCTGACATACTTTTGTTTATTTCAGTATATTGTATATTCAGTTATTCAATGTTTTCCGTAATATCATCCACAGTTGTTAACAGTCTTGTGAACTGATATTTCACAAAAAGTCACAAAACATTGGAATAGAGAACAAAACTACGTTGCTGAGATTAATTGTCTATGTGCAAAGGTTATTCGTTGTCCAAATGGAATCATTTCATGCAGAGCTATCAACTGGAGCAACGTCCCAGCGGCGTTAAAATCGAAAGACAATTTGGTACATTTGTTACATCAAAATCTAACTTGCTTTAGCACTTTTGATTTTCATCGTCTTGGATGGCGGAGGAGCATTATAGAGTCTTAACCTGTAAAGCAAGTTCGTGAAGGACCCGAGATTTATCTGGCCATCTTCATCTGAAGTTGTTTCAATAAAGAACTCGATTTCTTTGGGGTCAAGAGGTCGGCCAGTTGCTGTTTTGAGGGTTTTAAGTCCTTCTACAGCCTCGTTGCGGTCTATTTTACCACTGCCGTCGGAGTCGATTTCTTTAAACTTTTCCACTACTTCCTTTGCACTGCAAATTGGATTAGACGAACTGTCACAGAAATATATCAAGAAAAATCACATTAATCATAGTAATTTTACAACATGGTAAACAAACATGCGTGCAAACGTAAGACAATTACCAACTTCAATTTTCCTTTTGGTCTATTTTCGCTTTGATAGTGGATCATTACTTTAAAACACTTTGCTTGTTTGTATTTAACATAGATTTATCATACCATCTTAACCCATATTTGCTACTTATAGAACTTTAGTTATCCGGGTACAATTTCCATTTGCTTCTTACATACAATTGACACCACATACATCAATACAAATGCTACATGTATAAGCATGCACAGGTTCATCTCTTGGCTCGAAATAGTAATAAAACCCCAAAATACAATATCAACACAGAAAAATCAACTTTATACTCAGCCATTATAATCTTATATTGTATGAAAGACATATAACTTCACAATTTACCTCATAAAAATGTAAAGGTTAAATATGTCAATGTCTATTTAAGAAGAATGAATAAGAAAAGACTAAAAGGTCAAATGGCCAATAATTACTATAAGAACTTATTTGACAAGATAAAACAATGGTCCGGGAATCTTTAAAAAAAACTCATACTGCTAGAAAACCACAAGAGGTACTCACTGTGTTCCCATGCAAACATAAAACTGTTGAAATTCCCAAATGCTCATTTGTCCGTTCTGGTCTTTATCGAATGTGTCAAACATTGTTGCCGCCTGTTCTTCGTCCAAACCAAATTCTTTTTGTAACATGGCAATGGCATCTTTTCTGTCTAGATGCCTTACGTTGTTAGCAATGTATTTTTCAAAGAGATCCAAGATCTCTTTTCTGTAGAAAAAGAAAGAAAATATATATTATCTTTTTCCTGCAGTCAAAACTTGACATGCTCAATATACATGGCCAAGTGGTGTAGGGTTTGTATTCAAGGATAAGCTTACAAGTTATATGTAGATTTTTATTTGTTTTTGATATGTGTTTCAATGATTACATTTTTTATATTTAACAATTTGAATACATAAGCTGCGGAAATTGTTATGATGATGAACAAACTATATAAATAGATACAGTGTAAGGTGTACATGTTTGGTCTGTGGATAAAAAAATATATATTTTGGAATTTTCTTATCAAGTGACTTGTATCAGCTCTTTCCTGAATTTTAATTATTACTTTTTGCACCTGCTTTATGTATTTTATCTTCAAATAGCTAAAGGGAATACTTTATTTCTATTTTGGTTACCATCATCACAGGTGATAAAACAAATTCATAATGTAATAAAACATATTTTTGTTGAGCATCGTGAATTCAATGTTCCCTCTCTTTCTTTAAAGCAGGAGACAATGTTACATTGTTCGATAAAATAAAGAAAACGCAATTATAATAGTGCTAAAGTTTAAAAGTTTTCCAGCTAGGATGCTGTTAATGTTTGATTCACACTTTCATCCACGCTTGAGTTATCTTTGATCAGTGGTTTTATGCGTTTACGCGTTAAATATACCGCAGCTATTCAGAAAGATAAATGCATGAACATCACGTAATATAAACAACAGATATAAGAAAGCATTTAGTGTCATATCTTTGCATCAACATGAAAAATATGTCTGGCATAGAAAACAGGATCTACAATATTAACATCACTGCCAATGTAACGAATTATTGCCAGAATATAATATAAAGGGAGAAAAACCAAGAATGAGTTCCAAGCCGTAGTCATTAGGAATTACTTTTCCTCATTTTGATGGCAAAACAACTCTTGATTAAGAACATATTCATTCATAATAAATACAATTTAATAATAATTAAAAGTAATCAAACGAACGTAAACATTCGTAATCAACAATTATATTGTAGTAGCAGATTTATAAACAAAATTCTTCTTACAAATATCAGGAATTTGTTTATAAGTAATGTTGTTTATCCTAAATTCAAACCTCCTCAAACTTCTATAAAACAATATCTTATTTTAGAGCATATTTTAATTATATGTAGAACCGGATGCGAACTTACGGAATTCTACGATTCATGACACCTTTCATCATCTTGACGGCTGTGCTTTGGGTTACTTTATAAAACTGAAATAAAAGTAAAAATAAATCAATTGACTGGAAAGATATCACTTAAACGATAACGTACTTTAATGTTTTAAAGATAACGATGATTTCAGCTCATATGGTTATTCTAGTAAAGGTAAATAGAAGTATGGTGATACTTCGACTGGCTAAATTTACTAAAGATCTCAAAGACAATTGAACAATCACGTGGTTTGTAATAGTTTAATGGTCAAATCATAAAGGAGTTTCAACAAAGGAATTATATAAAGAAATAAAACATATTAATAAAATATTCAATTGCATTTTTAGTAGGTTAAGCAGGTTTCTGGTCTTCTTGATCATTGATGCCAGCACTATTAAGTATTGAGAATTGAGTACCGCTCAAGCCAGTGCTAGGGGGCGTGAGGGATGTTGCACTTATCCACTATCCCTCATGTATAGACTCAACCAAACCGAGTCTGCAATTTTCATGTAATTTTGTTGTGATTAATGCTTCCGAGGGATCACTTTGTTTCCAGATTTTTAGATATAATTTTGTGCACGCACCTTCCGCGTTGTCGGAAATTTACAGACATTTTCATTTCAAATGAGATCCTTTGAACATTAATGATTTTGATTTTTTAAAGTAACAATTCAAAAAGTGTAATATGTATATAAGCAGGATAGACAGACCATCGAATAGCAGATTATAACCAAATTAATTTTAAAATGTTTGTTTACAGGCGGAGCGAGATTACAAAATACTTTTAGCAAGGTGTTATGAAGTATATAATATTTGTTAATTTCTGAAATGCAATAAAAAAAACCCCAAAAAATCTAACTTCTTACACATTAGTGAATATCCGACTTTATATTTTGTTATATATGTGATATCATTGGTATCCCCCATTAGCATTTTTTATTTACAAAGACAACAAAACTACGAGTAATGTTATAAATTCACGAACATAATATAATAAGAATTTTCTAATGCACCTGTACAATTACGATAAAGAACAAAATGCAATGAAATGCTTATCATTTCCATTACGTTTTTTGCAAGTGAAGTAGAAGATTTATCTTTTCTTAAATTAATGTTTTACATTAAATTGTATTAGCTTTTTTCTACCGATAAAGTTCTTATCATTTTGCTCGGTGTATATTTTACTCTTGGCAATCGTAAGATAAAAAGAAGGTACAAAAACTTCACAGCATCTGTTTTTGCTTTGTTACATCTTATTTAAATCTTTATCTTTTTATTCTGTACACTATCCTCACCTTGAGAATTCCTGACGTTAATTTGTATTTTGCTGGCAGACAATAATTGATAGTGAAAGTTTACATCAGTACAGGCCGTGTGCATAACGTAAATTATGAAATGAATGTTTGGGCATAATCAAGGAAACATGTATACAGCAGTGCTTTATAACGAAAAAGTTTCTTTCAAACACTTTCTATATGACAACATATGTATTTTTAAAAACTAAAGCGAAATCCATTCATATAGTTATTTGGGTCATTTATGAATATTTCTATACTGTAAACCTCACCGAAGTCTTGAATTTGATTTGAGTCAAAAACAATGTTTATAAGCAAATCAGTCAAACAGCTTCTTAAAACAGAATTAGATACTTAGTTATATTTATTTTTAAGCAGCATATTTAGGTAATTCAGATGATAATACTTAACTTTATCATTAAAATTGGTATTTCTTTTTTTCATTCATTTTGTGAAAATATATCACACTATATTTCACCGCGCATCATATTGTTGTATCATTTCGCGATATTTTATAGTTATAATATTACCATTGTTTTCCAAACTTTGGCTAAAAGCATTATACTTATGAACCCTAATGATGATATAAGCGTACTGAATCTATATTAAATACTGAGTTAAATAAATTAACATTATTCTGAGCATAAATCCATTTCTTTACTTTCTTTCATCAACAAAACTAATATTTCAGACCCTTACTTAATCATATGCAATACCATGATAACTTTTATTATGCGCTGAGTATTTATAATGGTATATTGAATAATTATATAGTTTTACTTATTATGTTTCGGTGAAAATTTCTTATCTTAAAACAAGAATACAAAATGAAACATAAATTGTAAGTAAAACACGTACCTCTCAAAAAATACACAAAGTATTATTTTAAAACAGAATAGTTCCTCTTCCTTTAATTCCGAGAAGAATTTTCTTTTTGATCAACACACAAGAAATTTCTGAAATATATATGTTTCTTTATCTCAAGAATTAGTCACTTTAAAGAACTTTTTTGCAGACGAAATTTCAGCGCAATAATCGACTGGTTTCCCGCATGCGCACCAAAAACCATAAACGTCAGGTTGAATTATGGAACCAGAATACTTTTTCTCGAAATTACGTGCTTTCTATTGGATAATTGTAGCACTGAATGAAAGTTCGTTTGTATATACTCTTCCTATAAGATGACGCTATTGTTTTTATCAGGAATTTGTAACAAAGATTATATCTATATTTTTTCGGACGAACTCCGTCTGTTATCAGTTGGACTTCCTGTTAAATTAACAGGAAAGAACTGGATACATAAAGAATTTTCATTGGTCATTTTAGAAATGCAAACTGAAATCGGCGAATCTCAGTGATCATTCTTAAATAAAATGTTATGGAAAGCTCTAACCATTCTATAAATAAAATGTAAACGATAGTTCTAACCATTCTAAAATAAAATTTAAAGGATAGCTCTAAAATGTAAGAGATAGTTTTTGCCACTATAAAACAAAATGTAAAGGATAGAAATGTTAATATCATCTGATAACATTGAACAAGATAAAGATATTTAAGATTATATTTCATTCTATTTGTTTTAAGGGATTTATGATGTTATATATTTCGATAAATATATTTATACTTATAATACTGCACGTTTGTAACGTCTTTTTTATTGGATAATCGTGACGTTTATATAGTTTTATATACACGGCTTCTGTCGATTCATGAAGAAATCTTACTTTTTCTCCCTAAAAATGATGCCTGCTGTATTATAAATTCGTTATAAAGATTGTTGACAGGTTATATGGCCGTATATAAACGGATGTTTGCAATATAACCCTCGCCTTACGGCTCGGGTTATATTTACAAATAGCCGTCTATATAGGGCCATATAACATGTCAACGATCTTTACAACTAATAATCTACGTTAAGTTTCAGATTAATATACAACTCAATCAAAATCAGGCAATTTCACAAAGTGGCGCAAAAAATCGCACGAAAAATATGTATTTATGATTTAATTTATCTCTTTCTGATTTGAATGTCTCATCTATGAATAAAAGTTAAAAAAACTATAAACCCCCATCAAAATCACCCTCTTTGCTCGTCATGACTAAAACATATGAAGTGAGAATTAACGGTAATTTTGTTTCCGAGACGGTGTAGTATGCAAGCTGAATCAGAAAAAGGTGCGCTCTATTCAGGTGTGTACATGACTCACCTGTCATTTCTTACCATTATACACTTGTTTACTATGATATTTTAATCTAGATTCCACATGATAAGCTTAAAATCGCAGTAAAGAACATTCCAGGTAAACGTCCTGTATGAAATGAGTTCGATGAATGAACAATGATATATTTTTCAAAGAATTCCTGACATGTTCTTTAGAAGGCGTAAAGATAAAAATGATTAGTTTCAACATAACATAAAGTTTCGTCGGAAATTTAATTTATTAGTGCTAGATAATTTAATAACTTTTTAAAGTTAATTTTATTTAACAGGGTATTGTCATTATAAACGGTAACTATGAAATTTTATAAAGGGAGAGAAAAGAATCCCTTAAGAAAGTCCTAAACGGCAAGTTTAAATTGCGGTTTGATTAAGCCTGTTCATCGACAGAAGTTGGAAGAGCAAGCCACAGTCCATGCCGCTAGCACCGGCTTAAGCAGAATTCTACATTTAACATAAAGATGGTAAAACCTTTGAATTTAGAAACAGCCAGAGATCTATGTGGACATACGGCTGTTATTATGGAACCTTCAATGTGGTACGTGAGTATCATTCCATGAAAAGCAACGTTATGGTCCGCAAGATAGCGTTTGCCCTTAACGAGAAAACAATGGGCGAAACAAAATGAATTTGAATTTTGTAAGTGATCAAATTTTTTAAAAACACAGTTTCACAACATGTGTCAATGATATGTACTATCTGTGATAAGATGTTAAAAACTTGTTTATAAGTGTCACGGCAAGTTCTTGAGCTTCATGGTCAGTAACCCATTTTTCTTTATAAAGACTGACAACAGCTTATATTGGTTCTAGAGAACATAACCTTGTTAACGACAATCACATAATGTTGCAGTTAGAAAGGCATTTGGTGATTCTAAGATATTTCATTTCTTTTAATGTTACAAGCTTATAAACTATTAAAATATGTATTTCCCCTTAATAATTCAAACTCCATAATACCTATCTTAATTCACTGCAAATATCTATTTTTATTGAAAAATAATGTTAATTTCTTTGCATATCAAATGTTCTAGAATTAGGTTAATAAATACACAATATAGATTTCTCGGTTATTCATTTTATTTATTTGCTATTGGGCATGTGGTTAAACCACTGAAAATGAAACATTTCAGTATTTCAACAACTCAAATCTATTTCCACCTGTCTGCGGTTCCTTTATCATAGCGATGCTTATTTCACCTCGTAAATAGCATAAGTTTTTTTTTGATAGAAAAATGTTAATTATCTTTAAAACCAATACCAGGGGTGTTATTCAAATAAAAACTCCCATTGTGTTTGGCTAGAATATAATTATGTACGTAGAAACAATCTCTTATATATCTGTGAAAGGGTCTGTCAAGGGTTTATGTCTTGGATTCCCCTTTCTGTAGAATATACTGAACAAGATAAAAACCCAAAACCTTTCCTGTCATCTGTTTATGTGTATTGTTCGTTTTATAATAATAATAATAATAATAATAATAATAATAATAATAATAATAAAAAAAATAATAATAAAAATAATAATAATAATAATGATGATGATGATGATGATGATGATGATATCTTTAATGTGTGTATAAGTTTTCATTACGTTATCTTCTAGTCGAACCAAACGCACACGTCTACTAATCAATCACTGTACATTTTTTTTAAACATTCATTCATACTTTTCGTGTACAGGTGGGTTGTAGGAAGTAACAGTAAGTCATAACTCACTAAAACTCTTGTGTTTTTACAGTGTTTGTACTTTTAGAAGTGGAGTGGTAAACACACGATAAAGAATCTGAAAATGACTAATTAAGTGTCGAAACCTGCAAATGGATCATGTCAGGCTTTTGTAAAAGCCGTAAATCATACACCCTCTAACGGCATAAGTGATAGATGATTGTAAATATTTTGTAGTTGTTTAATACATAAAGCAATCATAAGTTTTCCCATAAATTCGAATATAAACGTATAGTTTTGTAAATTCAGTATATAATTTTCAATTAACTACATTACAATCAAAGAAAAGAGCATCTTCTATACCATATATCTTACGATCACTTCATGAGAAATTGTCAAACAAATTGCATAAATTGGCGATACCCTCTTGTGAGTTTGGATAACTAGTGAAAAGATTCGTGCATTGTACAGATTGGAAGATACCTGTATTGATACTTTGATTGTAGATGGATACTCATGCAATGTAATTCAAAAAGAATAAATGATAAATTTAAAGCATAAAAAATAAAATACTTCTCTCAGAACTTTAAAGCAGCGTTTTATTAAACAGAATAAATAAAATGAATGGATAACAATTGAATATTTATAATTATAATGTGTTTACCTGACATTAAATTAAATTAAATTTTAAATATTTAATAATAAAACAATATTAGTTTATACTGTATGAGATTGTTTAGTTCATAAGAATGTCTGAAATGTTGATCTCCAGTGAATATACGTATTTCATTCTTAAACAAAGGTATTAGGCTATTTTGATTTTTCTAAAGAACATTGTTAACACTTTTAAGGACATAAAAATAACAATTTTATAACATGACATGGAAGATAAGTACATCATCACATATCAAACAAGGCAAAACGTCAATTGCAATGTCACTGTGAGCAATATACTAAAGTATGTACATCGTTTTTTTAACGCTGATGGAACCAATGAACTGTTGTTAGTTATATGTAGCTGTAGGTCTGTGAGTGCAAATATCGTGTATGAAGAGATAAGGTTTTTTTCCAAAATTGATTTGTTTCATGAACGGGCGGTAATATAAAGTGTAAATTTAAGGATTTACTTATTTATGTTATAAAAACAGTTAGGCAACATTTAATGATAATTTATATTATTTTCCGAACTGATAGTCTCAACAAACAAATTTTATGAACATTTTTATAATACTAACATATCATTGAGAATCTCGATGAAGTTCAGTGGGTGGTCGAGTAATTTCAAAATACTTTTGTTTGTGTAGTAACTACTTTTACTGTTTTTCTTTTTGTTGAGTTTTAATGGTTTACTTTCTGTAATGCAATGCATGAAGTTATTCAGAAGCAGACAGCTTTCACAAGACTCTTCGTGAAAGTAAAATATAAATACATGCAAGCATAACAAATATTTGAAACATATGTTTGAAGTGTTCATCTCTGCCAAATATTCGAGAAGTTCAGAAGTGTTTTACAGGTAGATGATTTCATGTTAAAATTTGTTTTCTAGGATTATCCATTAATGTTAGAAAGTAATAACTGACAAATAAAATTCCATAGCAAACTTTCTTTGCTAAAACGTGGTACACCGAAGATAAATTAGCATTGTGTGTTAAAATTTGTTTCCTTTTTGTGACAATTGGACGTTCTGCGGGTAGACGGACGATCTTATATCAAACGTAAATCGCACAGTTTATGGTATAACATATACCAACGAAGCACCTTAAAAACTAATTGACACAATACGCTTAATCTTAATTTGTAAGCATTTAACTTATCATGATGCTACGAGTATATTACATCTATTTATTGGACTGTTTGTAACTGCCCATTTGTTTTAAATATATCTCAGTCATAACTTTATTCTAAACTGTACGTATGTACTCATTATAATATCCGAGATATGAGAACATAGCTCATTTGAACATAATTTTCGTGTCATTAGCGTTGACAATTTTTTTTTATAAACGGATACCCTTTAACGAACTTGGAAATTAATAAAAATTATTCTCTTCAATAGACGTTATATGGCGACTTTCAAGCTTTAATGGGATGGAAGACCTAATGTGCCCCTCTGTGCATTATTTCAGACACAGAAGGGATCATGAATAGGACTACTTGTTTCGTAAGCTAGCAGGATAGCTTCT